CGTCGAGCAATTTTTCCGAAACAATGATTCTGTAGTTACCGTGCAACGTTTATTCCAAAGCCAGTTCAATGTTGAACGCCAATGGTCAATTCCAGATCGAAATACGATACTCCGATGGGTTCGAGTTACTGGATCTGTAATGAAGAGGAAATCACCTGGACTTCCCCGTACCGTTCCAACGCCAGGCAATATCGAAATGGTGAGAAGAGCGGTCCTTGATAGTCCTCAACGGTCCAATAGGCGACAAGCTCCAGCTCTGTGTATGCCCCGTCGATCATTACAACGCATTCTGCACGATTTAAAATTTCATCCCTATAAGATAATGAGTGTGCAAGAGCCAACGGAAAGTCATTTTGCACAGCGTAGACGGTTTTGTGCGAGAATGCTGATCACTTTTGCTGATGATCCTAATGAGTGACGAAGCACACTTCCATTTAACGGGATATGTAAACAAGCAGAACTGTAGGTATTGGGCGACCGAAAATCTACGAGAGCTACGCCAACGATGCATAGTGGAAAATTGACTGTGTGGTGCGGAATTAGTAAATTAGGTATAATTGGTCCTTACTTTTTTGAGGAGGAAGAAAGAGCAGTAACAGCTACTTCAGCACGTTATGTTCACATATTACAAAATTTTCTGTTACCCGAACCTCAATAGGAACAAGAAAACATGAGAGAACTGTACTTCCAACAAGACGGTGCCACAGCTCATACAGCGAGAGCATCAATGGAATGTGTTCCACAAATTTTCTGAACATGTGATTTCCCGTTTATTTATTTATTTATTTCCAACAGGTGAAACCCAATTACAGGAAATGCTGAAAACAATAACAATTAAAGAGACATGGTTCTTGGATTTAAATCTATAGTATCACACATTCTAAATAAGATTGGATGATCTACAGCAGTTAATAATCGATGCACAACTGTCACTGTAAATATCACACGATTCAGTAACACTGTTCATGACGCAGCACATGAGATTAGTTGGCGATTTTGTCATAACATTTGTACGGCCAGCTTGACAATAGAATGCCGTTTGTTGTCGACTCCCTAGCCTTGGAACGCGGAAACATATTTTGTCAAGTACATTTTGACAGTCAATTTTATTGTGAATGAGGCCATACAAAAACGACAAAGCAAATATGTTTTGTCTTGTTGACAGTGAATCCAAATTGAAAAACTTTAATAGGGCACTATGGTCACAACCTCTTTCTGGATAAGAACCTGTGCATTTAAGGTGAAAATACTTTAAAGCTTTACGTTGAATGGCCTCAAGGATCACGACAGAATTTTGGTATATAGGAGACCAGATTAGAGTCGCATACTCCAACTTGCTCCTGACAAAAGTAAAAAATAAAGTCATTAATGTATCAACATTGGAGAAACCCTTCCAGCTTCTAATACAGAAACCAAGTAGTCGAGTGGCAGCCGACGAGATATTGAGTATATGCTCAGTAAACGTTAGTTTGGTATCAAAAATGACTCCAAGGTCTCTATAAGAGGTGCATCTGTCTATAATCTGGCCATTGATGTTATAATTATCATAAATTAAATAGTTAGCTTTTCTTGTATAAGTCATAACTTTATATTTCGAAACATTCAGACTGAGATAGTTTCGTGAACACCATGACGAAATTAGAGCTAAGTCATCTTGCAACATGACGCAATCCTCGACTGTCTTGACTGACGTGCAGATTTTAAGGTCATCAGCGAAAAACAAATGTTCAAAAGACAAGTCATTAATAAATATCAAAAACAATAATGGACCTAGATTTCACCCTTGAGGTACCCCGGACGTGGCCCGATAGTAACTCGACCTATGACCACCATATTCGACAAATAACCTTCTATCCCTCAAATATGAATTCATAAGCGACAGCATTGCATCAGACATACCCACTGTTTTAAGCTTATCCAGAAGTGCATAATGATCAACTTGATCAAACGCCTTCTGAATATCTGTGTAGATGACATCAACTTGTCCCTGACCGTCCAGCACTTCAGAAATGTACTGAGTAATTAGAGCCAAGTTGGTGACCGTAGATCTGCCTCTCATAAACCCATGCTGATTAATAGAGACTGCACCCCTGACCGAGCAGTAAACCGTTTCATAAGCGATGATCTCAAACAACTTGCTGAAATTGCACAGGATTCCTATTTGGCGATAGTTGGAAATATCAGAGATATCTCCACTTTTGTGAATAGGACATATTTTAGAGGTCTTCCAGATATTTGGATATATCTCTGATTTTAGAATTAGGTTGAATATGGAAGCCAGCGGTTTCGCTAGTATATGAATGTAATCTTTAACGAAAAAACTTGGAATACCATCACATCCAGACGTCATTTTGTTCTTTAATCTTTTCTAAGCCCTAATTACGCTTTCTTCACTTATATTTTTTAAAGAAATGATATCGGTAGAATTATTTGTTGGAGGAGATGACCCTAGTAGACCAGACGGGATAAAAACTGTTGAAAAGAAGGTAGCAAAACTATCCACTATATCCTGAGGCGTATCGCAGACATTGCCGTTAAGCGTCATCCTTGGGGGATTCTAGATTGCTGTTTTTTGATCTGGGCAAATGACCAGAATTTGATAGGATCATTGACAATGGCATCCTCAACCGAGTGGACGTAAGCGGAGCAGGCAACACTGATCTGGTTCTTAACGAGCTTCCTAAAATTACTGAACTGATCATAAGAAAACTTAGTACCGTCACGTTTCCAGTTCCTTCTTGCTATGTCCTTCTTCTTGATATTAAGTATAATTTCACGTGTGAACCATGGGGGATACGAAAACATTTTTTTTTCGGCGATGTTCCTTGGCCTCCACGCTCCCCAGATTTGTCTGCATGTGACTTCTCTTTGTGTGGTTACCTTAAGTCTAAAGTGTACCCTGACAAACCCCGTACAAGAACTGAAAATTGCTATTCGTCAAGAACTCGCAAGAATACCATAAGAAATGATCCTACATGTAATGCACAGCTTGCAAGAGCGATTGGAGATGTGCGAGCGCGAAGAAGGGCGCCACTTGAGTGAAATAATTTACCATAATTAATTTAAAAGTGCACTATTATTACTTTATTTGGCTGTAGTTAAAATAAAATTATCTTAAACATAAAAAATGTTATGCCTACGTGAAAATCATGCGCGTTTCCTCTGCGCCACCCTGTATAATGTCAACCTAAGCAATTTTAATAGATGCTAAAATTGTTAAAACTTCATTCAGAGATGCTGACTAGTCACTGTTTTATATTTTTTACCTTCCTAATATGGCGTACACAAAGTTCTTCTGTAAAATATGCAATTTTTACAAATAATAACGACTTACTCATTACAAAAATGTGTAGAATCGGTTGTGTTTTCGTAAACAATTGGTCAGACTCATACAACAGCTTGAAAAAGTATACACATGTTGTATCATGTTGATGCTGATATAATACAAATTATGGATATTGAATCTAGGGACTCTATTAGTCACGGGATAAGTACAGCCTGTCATAATCTTGTCTATGACAGATAAAAGTAAATATTGTAAACAATATTGGGACACAGAAAACTGTGTGGTTTCCACAATCAAGAAACGATAAGTAGTAAACAATAGTTTATCTCTTTTTTGAATCTCACGACAAATGATTCATTACGAATCATCCTTTCTATAAATATATCATTTTACTCATGCATTATAAAGGGTGTCTCATAAATATTTTCTTATTTTATGCCATAAATAAAAATACTTAGAATATTTTTACAAAGATAAATTTATTACCAAACGAAAGCCTAAACATTAATTTTATTTATGGAAAAGAGTATCGGATAAATGAGCACCGTTCATGTTTTCACACTCTCTTAATCTCGAACTGAAGTTTTCGATCACTCTCCGAAGCATTGCTCGAGGAATGGCGTTTATTTCATCTGTTATTTTTTGCTTCAACTCTCTCAAATCTTGTGGCGGTGGGGTGTATACCTTACTCTTCAGGTATCCCCATAAGAAAAAATCTGCTGCTGTCAAATCGAGACTTCTCGGTGGCCAGTTAATGTCTCCTCTGCGACTGATGACCCTCTCTGGGAATAACTGATGAAGAGCATCCAAGGATTCATTCGTGACATGAGAAGTCGCTCCATCTTGCTGGAAAAACGTGTTTCTATTGTAGCCACCATGGTTCTGTATAGCTGGAGTTAAAAAAGTCCTAATCATGTGGCAGTAGCGCTCAGATGTTACAGTTTGAGCTTGGCCACGATTGTCTTCAAAAAAATACGGGCCAATGATTCCTTGCCCTGTCATAGCAGCCCAGACGATAACTTTAGGCGAGTGTAATGGCGTCTCATGAAGATTTTGCGGGTTCTGCTCGGCCCAATATCGGCAGTTTTGTTTATTGACATGCCCGTTAATGTGAAAATTCGATTCATCAGAAAACCATATGTTGTTGTAACCGTTAAAATGCTCTCTCATTGTTCTACAGAACTCTAATCGATTAGCGGGATCTTGTGGTTTTAATTGTTGTGTAACAACAATCTTGTATGGGTGAAAATGCAAATCCTTGCGAATAATGCGATGAACAGTTGACTTATGCAAAGTTAGATACGCTCCACGCAGTCTTAATGATTGCCGGGGATCCTCGTTAACGGACTGGCGCACACGTTCAATATTTTCGTTCGATCTTGCTGACCTTGGGCGTCCAGGCGGTTTACTAATACACGTGTTTCCAGTGCTCTCGAACTTTCTTACCCAATATTTAATTAAATTTGCGCTTGGGACATCTCTCATTCTTGCTATGTTATAATGATTTCTGTACAAACGACGTACAAGCACAAAAGAATCCTTGTTTTTATAGAACTCGCGAACACAAAAAGCACGTTGCGGCCCTGTAAAACGCTCCATTGCAACTAAAATTTAACAATGTTGCCAAACGTTTGTCAACTGTCTCGTTTCTCCGGAGCATGCGTATTCCGCCAGAGGACTGATCTAAAAACGAAAATATTTCTGAGACACCCTTTAGTTTGTTGTCAACTTATAATCTTTAGTTGAGATAAAGATTGAGTGACATAATTTCACACTGAACTAGTTATCTGAAAATGACTGTACTATTCTAAGATACAGTTTATCACAACTACGTTTGCGTTTTGATATGATAATCATGAATTTCGTGAGAACACACATTCGTCACTGATTATCCTTGATTTTATCAAAATTCCGATTGCACGTAAAGTACACACTACAAAACTATGAACATCCAAATATTTACTATTAAGTTGTTTGGCACATTCGCATTTAGCGATAGATATAAAAATGTAGTTGTTCATCTCGGCAACTTTAATAATATTGTGATTGAACAAGTATCTAGAATTGATACTGAAGTGATAAATGCATAAAAACATGAACTGATGTGAAGAACACTTATTTATAAAGTGATTCCCACAATATGTTGGCTGCTTCAACTGGACATTCTCTTGTTCAAATCTAATCAAGGTTTTACAAACCAGCAGGTTGAGCATGGTTTAAAAAAAACAAGACATATTTTGTTAAAATTATGACATTTAGTTTGGATATTTCTCTGCATATTCTCACTTTTCGTGGTTGTAGGACTGTTGTTATGATCGTATTATACTTTGAAATTAGGTGTAAGGTTAGAAAATGCTATTAGTTTCGCGGAATTTGATGAGTCTTTTTCATAAGACCTTCATATTTGCAGCATATCAACTAAATCTGCGTTAAACATATGCGCAGTGCTTTTCGGTGCCCCTTACCTATTTTTTGAAGAAGTCAACCTGAAATTCGGGGTTATTAAATTGATAAAATCACCCACTATTATTGGAAATTATTCTAGCAAACGGTTAAACTTGAGCATTTTTGTATGTTGTGTTATAACTGAAATATCAAACATATCAAGACGCTATTTAGTTCTATGTGACATTAATCTTTTTCTCTTGGAAGAGTCTATCCAAAGATATAATGAAAGATGAAACATTCCGTTTGAAACAAATCAAAACCGGTATTTTTTTAATTGATTGTCTCATATTTTATTCCACAAGAAAAATGTATATATGTATATGGATGGTATACAACAGAAATAATAGGCAACATCCGCAAAAAGAAGGAAAGCGAATTCAAGCAGAAAATAGGATAGGTAACCCGAGCGATACGTATTTCTGTTTGTTGGCTTCATCAGGCCTGGAATGAATCCAACCAGGAGAAATACGTATTGCTCGGGTTATCTGTCATATTTTTTATTCGAATCTTTTGCGGACTTTGTCAATTGTTTATTCTATTGGTTGTATACCTTTCTCCGCATGATCCTTTCATTTTTGTAGATCTTTTGGGCTTAAAGTACCACGACAAGCGGCTATGAACGGCGCGCGGTTGTGGTTAGATGTCGTCTTCAAAATTCGAGGTCTTCTGTCCATTATACTACAATGTCTAGGTTAGCTCTTTTTGGTGACTTCGTGTGTCATTTTGTTCCCTATCCATCTTCGTTTCCTCTGGTTACACTGCTATTCGGATGTATGGGCATGTGTGATGTGACCTTTGTAGTTGCATATGTGCATTCAACTCGGGCCTGATGAAGCCAACAAGCAGAAATACGTATCGCTCGGGTTACCTGCCCTATATTCTGCTCGAATCCACTTTCCTTCTTGTTGCGGATTTTGTCTATTATTTTTCTATTTGTTATATATATGTATATCGTACTATGACGCTTTGATTATCTTCTGTCATCTTGAAACGAACAACTGTTACTTTTACGTTGTTAAAATATAGTCGTGGTGTCAATTTCATCATCCGGCATTTTAACTTGCTAACTTAACGCGTTCAAGAAATAAATAAGGAGAAACTTATATTGGAACAAAATTTATTAACTTTTATTTTGCCAGATTGTCTAGATAATAAGAATTGATGTTTAAATAACCCGTATAACTCTGCTCAAAATAAAACGCTTACATTATAACGAAAGGCGTTGATTGAAATACTGTGTTTACTTTTTAGATTTATTGTCCATTATACTTTGATTTAATCGGTTGAAAAATGTTGCGATTGTTAAGTTATCAGATTGGTCGCTTAAGTGGCAGATATTTAGGAGTAATAACCGATTGTTTCAAAATGGTAACATGTGACTAGTATTGCAACATAACGGGTAGCTTATTGTATCGAAAAGTAAAAGAAAATATTATTAATGAATACACAATAGGTGCTTGAAAAAATTTGATCACTGGATATATTTATGAAAAATCAATTTTAGATTGAAGAATCTGGTTGCATGAAAATTTAATGGCCCAATCGCAACACGCATATCCTCTAAAATAGAGGCTTGAAGTATCATACATCATTTCAGATTGAAGAGGTCAGCATTAAAAATGTCTTCTAATCAATGAGATTCGCTACTCTCATTAGAAACTTCACCAGCTTAGTCCTTGTAGTACTATATTTTTATTTCATGGGGTGGTACCCCGATCTTGAGGGTGTTGAATTTGATTATGACATTTTTACACTATAAGAAGAATTGTTGATCTAAAATTGATCGGCTTTCTTATAAATATTCATAGACGTCGTGATAGCCGCTTTACATCACGTTTACTTTTTTTACCTGCTAATGAAGAAATACATTCTAAAATCAATCAAACTACGTTTCAAATATGTATCGCATGCCACCGCTCCAATTCAAATATTCAGGAGATTTGAAACTCACTTGGAAGGTAACCACATGTGGATTCGGTTGGATTTTAAAATTTACATAATAACCATGATTTTGCGTACAATTTTGAGAATTTGTGGAGGCTCTAAAAAATTGTGAAGCAGGTACAATTTTATAAAAAGTCATTTCCTTCCGATGATTGGCCTCCCTTGGGAAATATTTCTACGGGAGCGCATAAATAAGTTGTGTTTAGTTTCTGAATCCACAATCGACCTGTTTTGGGTTTACCATTAATGTGCACAATAATAGAAATAATGACTTTATTTTATTTTTTTCAGCTATCCTTTATTGCTCTTAGATCCTGCGAGCATTGTTGATGTGGCAAGGTACGCCCCTGCTCGATTACAATTTCAAATTTTGGTATAGATTTTTCAGAAGTCCCACCCAACAATACTGGGGCACTATAGCATGAGAATAAATAATCAACGTGATAACATCTTTGAGCCTCGATAGTGCTGACGCGCATTTCTTACATTCACTGTGCACTGGGAACGCCAAGAACCGCCTGAAGATCCCACAATTAATCCAAAAATTAGGTATTGCTATGGTCTAGTATCTAGATACTAGTAACAGGCAGTAGTGCAACCTGAACTTTCTATCACAGCAACATCTCTTCACTACATCCACAATAAGTCACTGCACAACAAGTTCGGCCTGGAGCTCGCCCTATGGTACTTGAAGTAGGTACTATTAGGCACGCCCCCGGAGAAGAATTCTCTGAATCTCTCTTCATCGGCAGGTGACGTCATCTCGTACATGTCCATGTAACACAAGGGCCTGCCTTCATCTGTGGTCGTGGTGAAAAGATGGACGAAGTGACGTTTGTGCTCGATGTCGTAACGTTCGGGTTTTTCGCGGCTGGGACTTAGCTTCCTGGAACACAAAAATAAATATGTGTATTTGATATCGAATACATGGAATTAAGAATTAAATAAACAAAGCTGTGAAATTTGCTTAATTCTGATGAAATCATTTCATAAAAATAATTTGTTTATCTTTTAATGTTATTACAAAATACGCAAAATTATGTTTCGCAATTTTACATTTAAAGTGTGGTGTCCCAAATAAGTATAGCGGGTATTTCAAATTCGACCCTCACCACTGGAATCTCGGAAACGGTAAGGAATTCGTCTAACAAAATGCCGCTGAGAAAGTTCTGAAACCCAAAGCACTTCCATAGAAAAATCCGAATTTTCTCAAAATCGTAATAATTGTTATTCTGATTTCAAATTGTATAATATGTCACACATTGACATTGAAAAACCTTAGTTATTTAAAAAGAGCAGAATTCTCTAGGTAGGCATTGGAATTATCAGATAGTCATTTGTTTATATGTCAGACCAGACCGCAAAATTGATGATAGTATCAGAGCTTGGAAGACTGAGAAGGGAAATAAGTCGAGCAGTGGACATTGTACAGAGAAGAATTAGGCTTTGCCTCTGCTTATTTATGGTTATTTTTGATATTACCATCAATAGGATTTTCATTTTGTGTTCAGGTTTCACCATACCTTTTTATTTTCCTATGTGTATGCTAAGTGACATATAAATCCGAACACCCAGTTTAAATGGTTTTATTTTAATAAAAGTTGGTGGATGTATTTATCTTACTGTAAATAACAAGTGAAAAAATTTTCAGCCTTATCAGTTGGACATTCCGGTTTTTATACTGCTTTTTTTTTAATTCACTAACGCTCTAAAAATGAATATTTCAGCCGCAGTAAAGAATCAACGTTGGCGGATTTTGGTTCTTGACATCCTTTACGATCGATTACGATGCCTAGAGTACGGAGACCTGTACGATTTCGTCAACTTAGTGAGTTTGATAGGGGCCGTATAGTGGGGCTTCGGGAAGCTGGACTTTCTTTTCGGGCAATTGCAGTTAGAGTGCAAATAAGTGTAGACACTGTGGTTAGGTGTTGTCAGGCATGGCTTCGAGAAGGCCGTACGCAAAGAGCAAGGGGCACTGGACGCCGCCGTAGAACAACAGACCGTGAAGATCGCCGCCTAAGATTATTGGCCTTAAGGGCCCGTTTCTCCACTACCAGGTCCTTTGCAAATGAATGGTTTGCAGAGCACGGAAGACCTATTGGCATGCGAAGTGTTTACCGACGAATGAGAAGTTTTGGCTTGTTTTCATACCGACCACACTGGGTCCTCCCTTTAACTCGAGAACACCGACGCAATCGCCTTGAGTGGTGCAGACAACGGTCACTCTGGGATCAGGAATGGAACAGTATTGTCTTTAGTGACGAGCCTCGATTTTGTTTAGGCATGTACGATGGTCGTGCCAGGGTTAGAAGGCGACGTAGTGAAAGGAGGAATCCACAGTTTTTTGTTGAAAGACATGTTCATCACACTGTTGGAGTTATGGTTTGGGGTGCTATAGCTTATGGTTCCAGGTCACCTTTAATCTTCATCAGAGGTAACATGAACGCGCAGCGTTATATCCACGAAGTTCTAGAACCCCATCTTTTACCCTATCTTGACACCCTGGCAGAACCAACTTTCCAACAAGATAATGCCCGACCACATGTTGCAAGAGTCACGATAGACTTCTTTCAACATAATGATGTCACATTGTTACCATGGCCCCCAAGATCTCCCGGCTTATCCCCAATTGAGTAGGTACGTGTGGGATATGATGGGTAGGAGATTGCTCAATTTGCAACGTCCTCCTCAGACTCTAGAAGCACTTCGAGAGGAGTTGGTGGTTGCCTGGAATGAGATACCATAGGAGGACATTGACCACCTCCTGATCAGAAGCATGCCTAGGCGCGTTGGAGAATGCGTAGCACATCAAGGTGCATCCACACATTATTAAAGGTCAAAGGGCTTTAAAGCAGTGCAATCAATTTGAAATTTTTATCATTTACTTATTATGCTTCATTAAGTACCTATACAAAATTTTATTAAAATAAAACCATTTAAAACTGGGTGTTCGGATTTATATGTCACTTAGTATATTTTTCATCCAGCAACAAATTAATTTACAACTAAGAAAATTACTGAATTTATGACAAAAATGTCCATCTAAATTGCAATATAGCGCCCATATGGAAAAACAAAGTTGGTCATGGAAGTCAAAAGAAGAAACCTCGAATTAAAATCTGACTACGCCGCTATGAGGAGGAGAATAACCAACAATGACCGTATGCACTTTATTCTGAACTCCCATCTCAAATAAGGTCAGTAAAAAATAAAAATGCGAAACAAATGACTATCTGATAATTTTAAGCCCTTCTAGGAAATTCTGCTTTTTTGAAATAACTAAGGATTGGCGATGTCGATGTATGACATTACTTATCTAAAAATCCAATATGGCGTCTATAATAATAAATAAAATAGATGTCGGAGGACAAGAGACGACACGTCATACTGAAATTCTGATTATGCTATCCTGTAGAGGAGAAAAAGTGTCAATCTATTATTTTGAAATTCCACTACAAATGAGCGGTACCCAGACAATCTTCGTTTGAGACACATGGGGACCCCCATTGAGGCGGGGCTTGTGGGGTTAAAAATTGCTATCAGTTTACTAGTAGTACAAATCCTTACCGGAAACAACAAAAAACAGAATTTTTCCACTACTTTAATAGCAAATAATAGCTTGAATTATTCGAAAAAGCAATACATCATGTTTGTGTCGTTTGTCTGATTAATCACTTGAATAAATAATACTTAATGCATTATCTGAAAAAAAACTAATAAATCTTACTTTCGACGATTCATCAGACTTATTTCATTTGCAAAGTACTTACATGAATAAATTTACTTTTGATGTTTCCTCAAGTTACGTTGCGTCAATTTTTGCTCAATGGACGGATGGTGAGCCTAAAATATTTGAAAATACTCGGAATTCACTTTCGGCGCTGAGCATTCAAAAAAAAGTGGGATGAGCATTTTTGAACGAAAATTTTTTTGCTCTACGATAGTCTAAGCAGCATCAAGGTAGTAATGGAATCAAAGAAACATGGAATTATTTTTTAGCCTTCAATCGTAGAAAACATACCTATACATATTGAAGTATTTTTTTCAAACCTATTGAATAAAACTTGATTTAAATTGTTGAGTATTAGAGAGTAACGTGGATATTAAAGAATATTAGTAGGTATGCACTTAACTCAAATTTCTATTCATGCGTAAGAATTGAAGTATGAGTTTTTGTGATTGTGCAAGTTTCCGAATTTGTAAGAATAACGCATTGAATGTTTTGGGTCTAGGAATATCTAAATCAATATCAATGATTTACTGTTGTTTTTAGAGATGATTTTCAAAAATCCTTGAGGAAAAACGGAAAAACTAACAAACAAGGCACATGGCAAAACTTTATCTTGCAAGTTTCAGAATACAAACAAATTAGATTTTCTTCTTAATCTTCTGAAAGTCTTGTATATTTTAGGACATAGATAAAATGTTATGCCACAACTCTCATAAATGGAATCTGAGATTTTTGAAACCCATATTTTTCATATACAGTTTCTCCGATTATTTGTAGATGCTCATTGTCAGTACACCTTGAATACGAGCATAATTTAAACATGATCCTTGCGGAAAAACGGAAAAACTAGCAAACAAGGCACATGACAAAACTTTATCTGGCAAGTTTCAGAATACCAACAAATTAGAATTTCTTCTCAATCGTCTGAGAGTCTTGTATATTTTAGAACATAGATAAACCTTTCTGTCACAACTCTCATAAATGGAATCTGAGATTTTTGAAACCCATATTTTTCATATACAGTTTCTCCGATTATTTGTAGATGCTCATGGTCAGTACACCTTGAATACGAGCATAATTCAAACACGATCCTTGCGGAAAAACGGAAAAACTAACAAACAAGGCACATGACAAAACTTTATCTTGCAAGTTTCAGAATACAAACAAAATAGAATTTCTTCTCAATCTTCCGAAAGTCTTGTATATTTTAGAACATAGATAAACCTTTCTGTCACAACTCTCATTAATGGAATCTGAGATTTTTGAAACCCATATTTTTCATATACAGTTTCTCCGATTATTTGTAGATGCTCATTGTCAGTACACTTTGAATACGAGCATAATTTAAACATGATCCGATAATTAATTCTTCCTCATTGCTATATTCCAGAGCAAATTTTTACAATAATTTGGAGGAAAAAATAGATGAGCTTACATGTCTCCTTTTGTTACCCAGCTATTATATAAAACATGACACGTCCACAAGAACTGTATGATAAGATTGTCTATCAGCCTCAGGAATTGTCTCATCTTTCATCACAACTTCACGCCGTGACTTGCTACGAAAACTAGAGTACCAGTACTGGCGTACCAATCACCCAAACCACGATTTAAATTAATAAGCTTCGGTAGAACGAGGAACTAAGCGCAACTGTTGCTTGTAACCGCTGAAAGGCGCGAAGCAGCACGTTTGCTTAGATTTACTTAATCGCATTATTTTTATATATCTCTATTTGCAAACCATTTAATTGTCTTACGCTCATAGGCGTAACATGAAAACCAATCCAGGTGCATGTTATTGCCTCTATTGACTATATGTCATGGTCAGAGCGGCCCGTAGAACCTTTGCTCTTGGTTAAAGTATCGTTAAGTCAGTATGTCTGTCAGGTCTGGTTGTCCAGTAACAGACAAAGTCTGAGAGGAAAAAGGAAAGAAGAGGAAATAGGTCAGTGGGAGAGTAAACAGGAGGAAGTGCTTCAGTTTCAGGAGTGCGTTGGCATTGTTACCTAGTATTCGGGAATTTTAAATTGATCCTAAGATCGCAGTCTTTCTGAGGGGTCTCATTTGAGACATACCATGAGGCGTTAGTGTTTGTGGTTGGTATAGCTGTTGTTTGATAGTTGACTGAAGGCCTCGCGTAAGCATACTGCTGAGTAGAAAAGGAGTTGTTCTGATGTAGTGCTTAGTAGATAATACTGCGATCAAATACCCTGCGTCAAAAAGATAATGAGATCGCACCAAACGCCGCACAGTCGTTCAGAGGGCACCATTTCCGCGAAAATAGTAACCAAGTATAAATATTATGTTTCTCTTTACTTTTTCTGCTAACATATTTTGTAAACCCAAAATTACCTATTTGCAACATTTTCTTCTTTCTTACATTATTTCATCCCTCATTTATTTAGCTTCCAAACTAAAACATATTTTTTATCAATTTTTATCATACATTTTGTTAAAATATTTAGGCGGGCCCTATGACGTAACTGTAATCATAGAAGGCTCTGACCTATGTAGTTCAATATAGTTGACGTTTGGAAAAACAACTGAATTTGAAAGGAATGTTGACAGTCACTTTGCGCTGTCGCGGCATATTTTTTAGTAAATCCGTGTAATTTCTTAATGTAGAAACATTAGACAAACATATGACGAATTTTATAAAAAATGTGGAAATTAGATGGAAACCTCATTATAGAGATAAGAAGTGTTTAATAAAGAAAAATGAGGCTTGGTTGAACCAAGAATTTCCGCCTTCTTCTTTAGAGCAAAAATCAATAAGGAGTTTTAGAAGGCCAGTGAAGAATTTTCAGAGCCTTGGTAAAAGGGTAAACAATTGAGGATTCGTTCATTAGTTTCTAGCCATTCAGCAAGCGAAAATAACATTTTTATTTATTTAATTACACTTTAAACGTTTATTTAATCTTAGACTGTATTTGCAAAAATTATATTGCAATCAAACCTTTTAATATATTAATTTTATTCTTATTATTTTCCCAGAAGGTCCCAGAAGTTCGCAGTCAAAAAAGTTAGGTCAAATTAAAATACTACAAGGATGTAGTGAAAACTGATTAATTCTAGAGATACAGGGTCTTAAATGTTTAAAAACATATCGTTTCTTCGCCATAAGTTTTTTGAGACTACAGCTGTTTTTACTACATTTGATTCACTTCTTTATCATAGGAAAAAAACTGTTCATTTTGACGGGATCTATCAGATACTCACTTTTTGTAAAGTTCTGAGCATTTTGATTTAGGGTTCCCACAACTTGCATTGATGCAGAAATTTGCAAATTTCTCGGAAACCCTATTTTAACAGTAGTGCCTTTCTTGCTTAAAAATATCGAGCTAATTCTTTTTTTAAGAAAAAAGTAAAAACCTACACTCAGAAGAAAGCTATACAAGAAATTCTCATGTATTAAAAAAAGGACTTTTATTTATTTATCTCGAAATCGCAGCAATTTTGGACTGAGGTAAGTTACTTCAAATCGGCTAATTTGGGACTTAGGAGTATGTGCTAAAATTTTGTAAAGACCTTTTAGGGATGCCCTGTATAGTGCCGCCATCTTCTATTTTTGACATTTGTCATTTTTTGATACAATTTTTTAAAGAGCATTTCTTTAGCTTCCTAATGAGGAATGGCTCATAAAAATCGGCTTACCAGTAACAAAAAAGAAATCGTGATACTTTTTTCGCGGAAATGATACCTCCTGAATCACTGTGCGCCGTACATAACTTTAGGATAGCAGGTTTTTGAGTCCAGCACGCATAGAAGCCCAAAAGAGACCCACCGTATGGGTTATTTTCAACGTATTCCTTTTTCAAACATATCTGCAACTTTTCCCTTTTTTTTAATGTTTTGTTGATTGCTCAAATAGCTAAAGCTGAACTACCTGAAATGTTCGATCGTGCCTGTCGCGTACCGCCTCTGGAGCTTTGCGTCACGAGTCAAGCCGAGTGCACATGCACGCAGTCTTGCTTCTCTTATTAACTGCCTTGACCTTGATGACAATCTTGTGAGATGATAATGAATAGTTTTGATCAAACGTATTAGTTCCCATACATTGATACTGTCTTAGCTTCTATGTCATATTTACACACGTCAGTTGAACGGTCATATTTCGTTCTGTATATCATCGGATTACAAGCAAAATACATTGAGTTTAAAAATGTACTTCTGAGTAATTTCGCTTGGTTTTTATTTTTCATTTTCTTGTATATTAACATGTCTTGAAATTAATTTGGTATTTTATAAACTTTAAATATATTTCACACGTATATGGAGTAATAAAAGTGGATAAGTTTCATTTGACTTTTTAGAACTATTTTATTAGAGGTTATTGGTAAACGATGCGCTAACTTAATGTATTTTACTTAATGTAAGTGTTGAGTTAGTGTATTTTACGTGTAAATTTTTTATTAAATAATAGACTTGTACTTGTTCTAATTTCTGTATTATCAAAATTGAGAATAGTACATTATTAATTATCCTCCACATTGGAGGAAAATTTATAATGTAGGTATAGTATTGAAAACAAACTTAAAAAGTCAAAATCCTTAAAACTATTACAAATAAAATTGAACTAGTTCATACTTTTGTCTTCTGAGTCACTATCACTTTCAGCTGGTTCGGGTGTGACACCTAAAACAGAATACGAACAAGGCAAATTTTTATACCAGTCACGTAGTGTCGGCAATAATGTTTCTATCGCAAAGACCTTTTTTTCATAACAACCGAGATCGGTAATTGACTTCGATATAACGGCAGAATAATTATGTCTTCAAAGCTTCTTTCTTTAATCTTGCGATTCGAAGCTCGACTGGTGAATCCAATATAAGGTTCCCGGGGGGTAATAAGGCCCACCTAAGAAATTATAATTAATATCTACGAGAGAAATTTACTTTTTCAAACCTTTATTATTATAAAAAATAGAAAAGGGTATAAACTAAGATAATGGTAATGTTTGAACACAAAATAATCATGCTAATATGTCGAGACGCGAACATTAAAAAAATTGTCTTCTGGGCCTTAAAGCCTGCAAGTGCATATAATAAGGCCCATATTTAAATGAACAAAAAACAAGTCAAACGAATAAACAAAACACAAAAAAAATCAAAAAATAAAAAGAAAATATTAAAATAATGATATACCAACATAAATATCAAAAATATCCCTTGGTCCTTAATATCTGCAACGACATATAATGAGATTTGAATGAGAGATAAAAAAATAACAGATCAACAAAATACTGATAGAATAAAAAATAAATGTAACACAATAAAAAAACAGTATCAAAGATAAAATATGGTATTAAGTATAAATATAATACTTAAGGCATACAGTCTGGACACAAAAAATTTTCAGTATCGTCCGCAGTCAAACCAGCACAATCCTCATGGTCCCAAAAACCACAAGAAGCACATCGTCCCATATCTGCTACATAGTCTTCGTAGCAAATCACACAGTGCCATTCTTCGTTATGTTCTTTTGTTTTTGATGCAATGGAAGACACAGATTCAGATGGCGATTTAGCGGTATTCGATAAGACTGGAACGGGATCAAGTTGAGACTCCACCTCCTTTAAAAATACGGATCGCTTGACTTCAACTGCTTTGTAATTTATAGCTTTACGTCTTGGAACAGATTTTTTTTTACTAGATCTGGTGTTGGTAACACTTCCGCGAAGGAATTATTCAAAGGGATTAATTTTTTACGCAATTCACCTAAAGGCAAGTAGTCATCTGAATCATATTCCGAATCATCGGCAGCGGCGGTGGTCTCCTGGTATGGTTTCTCAGTTGCAAGACTTGGGGCAAATGCTTCAATGGGAAGAACATCCTTATCATAAGGGCATATTCCCGTAGCTCGAAAGCCGCTTGTAATATTTCCAATGGACATTGCTTTCTGCCATGTAGGTGTGAAAACTTCAGAAAATCTTTCCCTGTTTAAATCACGTGTAGGATGTTTATCCCAGTACTTTAACAATTCATCGTCCCAATAAGCTTCAAATGCTCGAAATATAGCTTTGTCCATCGGCTGAAGCTCATGGGTGGTGTTACTCGGCAGACAATATAAGTGAATCTCATGAGCTTCTGCTTTCTCAGCAATGCTAATATCCAAATGGCATTTGTCCCCATGAAAAATTAAAATTACTGGCGGAGGCGACATGTATTCAATGAAATGGTCTAACCACTTATCAAAAGTTTCTATCGTCATGCTCCCTTTAGGCGTCATCATAACTTTTGAGCCAGCCGGTAAGCCATCTGGGTAGGTTGGCTTCATTCTCTTGCCCTTAAAAAGAATGACAGGCGGTATGGCATGTCCGAGAGCATTAGCGCAAGCGACGATAGTTGCGTTTTCGGCGTGTTCATGAAAAATTACATGCACTCGTTTTGCTCCTTTGGCTGCCAGAATGTTTTGTTTGTGGTGAAGAGTCAAGCGGCAACCCTTCTCGTCCATATTATAAATTTATGCTTCTTTATTTTTTAACTGAGTGCGCTCCAACAAATCTCCTAGTTTTTTGAAATGATCTTCTACGATAAAACGATGTAATTTTTGGGCTCTTGCTGGATTCATGAATTGAGATCGACGTTTTGATATTCTAGGATGATTTTTCAGAAAAGTCCTTACCCACTGCCTACCAGCGAGACGAGTTTCCTGATTGAAACAATGCTTAATTTTCTTTTGCTCAACATACCTGAACACAGACCTTCTCAATGCTTTTG